ACGAGTACGTGAGCCGCCAACGGTGACTGGTAGATAGTACCGCCATCGCGAGTGCGCGAGCTCCTACCATAAATTCGTTGCGCCGCCCTTGGGGGCAAAAACGGTGTAAGCTAACGTACGAAACCAGAGGGCAGCACAGGATGCGATCGCGCCACCCTGCCCGTGGGCAATCTCCCAACTCATCTCTGCTCATATCTGGGATGATCTCTGAAGGATCTCTGGAAAGGGCGGCACAACGAATTTCTGGTAGGGTCTCGCACATTCGCGATGGCGGTTCCATCTACCAGTCGCCGTTGGTGGCTCGCTTTTGATGGTAATGGAAGAACACTCGTAGCGCGCTCTTTGAGTTTACCTTTCACTTACCTTATTTATTTTATCCGCAAATAATACAGGCGAAACTACAACGTTTGTGCTCGAGAGTTGAGTTATACTTTACATACAATTTTTATAAGCTACGGAAATTAATAAAAAAAATAATAAATGTTTCCAAGGGAACAAATAGAACCTAGATGGAAGGAGATACCCAACAACATAGCTTGACGTAGTCGGTGTGACGTCAGGTGTAACGTACGTGTCGCAAGTTCAAATTCTGAAAGAAGGGAAGGGTGGGTACCGTTTTTACACTCGATAGCGCTTGAAAACGCTCGAAAACGCTCTACAAACGCTCGAGAACGATCGATAACACGCGACTCTGCCCGTGAGCATTCTCCCAACTCATTTCTGGTGTCACCCATTAATATTTCGTGAAAATTATAGAAACACGGTTCCTGAAATGCCGATATTCGTCATCGGGGCAAAGAAAGACGCTACATGGATGAATATTCATTGATAATTTAATGCTGACTTTTACGTACATGATTTTTGTTCTTCTCGCTGACTTGATATTAAATTTCGCCCATATCGCATCGTATTGTACTCGTTAATCTCTGCTTAAAAATGATAATACTTCGCAACTTCAAAGGGTCCAGCTAATAAGGTCAGTCAGGAGTTTTACTCGTTTCTTTTTATTAGCGATAAATAAACTTACATATCTTTACAGTAACAATATACTTTCGTAACTCTCAGAAAATATAATATCTATCCGTAATAATTCGCAGGATAGTAATATCTGGTTATACATGGTTATCCACTTCGTCGCGAGCTCTGACGTCTTGAAACCGGTAATAATAATAACATTAATAATAATCATAACAAAATAATTAATCGAAGACAGATTCGTTTAATGAAATCGCATGCGACCTTTCCCCGTTATCAGCCGACGCCAGAAATTTGGAAAAGCGACCGCTCTAATGCTAATCAGGTCATTTATTTAACAAATAGCTCGAACAGCGATCAGCTGCAAAGGTCAACGTTCATTTTTTTTTGCCTTTCCACTGAACGAATCGTCCGAGAAGAAACTAACAGAAAAAAAATAGACCGAGTACATGGAGCAGAACATCCACAATTGCACGTCCTGCGCGACGCGACTCGCGATTGCGGAATTTTCGGAAAAGAAGAGGAAAGAGCTCTTCATCCCGGGCTCCACATTCTCCAATTTTTGTTCCCCTTTCTCGAGAAAAATTGCGGCGTAAAAAGTGGCCACTCTGTTAATTCGAATAACGAGAATGATGACCAGATGTCGCTCGTGTCGGTTTCTCCTTTCCGAAAACCCCTGAAAGGAACCTATCCTTTTTACGAAAGTCCTTTCGACGTCTCTCCGTCGCCGTGGATTTCTCCGTTCGACCGTGCTTCTCAAGAACCGATTAGACCACCATCAAATTTACTGGCATACGTTTTCCTCGTAGGTTAATTTATTTCTCTCTTTTTCGAGAAATGCACTTTCACCCGACCGAGGTCGGAAAAGTGTCGTGGACGTCGTTTTCCGAGTAAAAAAGAGAAAAGAGGGCGAGAAGGACCCGGCGTCCGGAGAAACGCGTCGGCCATTATCTCTTATCGTCTTATTTCTAGGTCGTCCAGGTAGAAGCTACAGATGGGATCACTCGTTTTTCATTTTTTCCTTTACTTTACGCTAATCTACCTATCCTCTAGCGGCTACGAATAGGCGGTAACTAGACAATTGCAAGAGTAATCCTGCCTCGACTCGCACCGCGCGAATCGTCCTTTGCGACTCCTCGCTTCGATTATTTATTTACGTTTTGTTTACGATTCGCAAAACGCAAAGAATAATATTCATCTGCGTGTCCGTGAACATAAATTTCGGTATCTTATCGGGAATTTCCTCGAATTTCAGAGCCACGAACGCACCCTTTCCGACCGCAAGAAAGGGCCAGGATTCACTCCCGAAAAAATCGCCGTCTGATTGTAAGCTTCTCATTGTCTGCATTCGCTCATATTTTAACACATCCCCTTTCAGACGTTAATACAAAACGGATAAAAAAAGGATATTGTCAAATAAGCTTTCAAAAACTCACCCGAAAACGCGCGGATCAGCGATCGTTATCAGAAGTAATTCTTAGCGTTCAAAGGTTTGAAACTCGAGGCGAAATTCGATAATTCGAAGCCGATCTAATGCAATTGTCGATACATTGCACAAACATAACCAGGTCAAAGCACAGATTTCCTGAAAACGCACACGGCACCGTGGATCATAATGGGCGGCAATGAAAATCCACCGAAATGCCCTTAGGGATGAGAATGAGATTCGCACGAATTTCCGGAGAATTATTCGCACGGTGTGGATCTATGCAAATGCCGATCTTGCATTTGCATACCGCGCGGCACAATTTATTGTGCTCGAGAGAAGAATTAAAGGTAAGTGCGCAGCACGAAGCAAAGCTCGCAAGTTTGATATATATGCTCGGCTGTAGATGATGTTCCACGTTGGCTGCAGGTGATTTCAAGGTTCACTTTGCTCCACATTTTACGACCTTTTTCACATAATCATGGTATTCCGATCGGCCGATCATAAACATCTTCGTGATCGAATCCTCTGATAGGCACTACTCGATTAAAAAAGTTCCCTTTATCGATCACGTCCTGATAGAAACACGCATCCGATCGGTCCACGACCTGTGTATCCTGTTCTGCGTGACATATCTCTTTTATGCTAAGTTCAACTACCGCGGCTAATAGCCATAGAAGTTCACTTCATAATGTAAGTATAAAGTAAAAAAACCTCCGCCAAAATGATTCCGCAAAGCGGTGGAGAAAGTTTCGCCGGCAGTGTATCATTCGCTGCTGCCGTTCTGCGGCTATCATTTAAACTACTGAAATATATGTACAGGATGCAGTATTCTCTCTTTTTTTTCTTTTTTTTTTTAATTATTCTGGCAATCGCATAATTGGATAAAATGAAAATTTCTGGAGCAGACGCATGTACGCAATAGTCTGATCGAAAAGTGCGATCCATGACTTAACGCTGAACAATCATACCCATCGTCAATTTAACGGTATTTTAATGAATCGTCGCTTCGATTGCAATTATTGTAAATAGTACTCCGCAGTATTTCGTTGACCGAATCAGAATTATTACTAAATCTGCTCATCGATATGGGCTCAAAAAATCCCATCCCATTTGACTTCTTGAAGAAGAGAGAGCACATACGAGCTTGTTGAATCAAGTCGAATCGTCCGAAAATTAATTTTGAAACGATCGACCGAGGTCGTCGTTGAAACACTCGAAACGGGATGGCGAATCAATTGGTAACTCCATCTGAATGAATTTTTCCAGCAAAATTAGTCCTTCTAAAAATGTTAAGGACTCGAGTGGTAGTTTTGAGAAAATTGTACGAAAGTCGGCAGGGTCGAGTTCAAAATGTGGTAAAATCGTTAAAAATACCCTGACGATAACAATCGGCAACACGAAATCTTCAAGAAATATCGCTGTCCAAGGTGCGACATTTATTTCGAGAACATACTTATTCGACTGGAAAAACTCTTGTATAAATACGTGGGAGCATAATTTCCTCCTCGTATCGAATGCTTTAACAACAACCGTAATCATTAATCATCTCAGTAACTCAATCTACGTCAATGCCGACAAGTGAAGTACATAATTCCGCCCAAAGTATCTGCTATGAAATTCGGACTCGCATTCGAAAATCATTGGCTCACTTCCTTAATTCTGTCAAAAATCGAAGCTGAAGTTGACACTTTCGAGTCCGCGTTTTCCTCGAAACGAAGAAATCCAACGATCGGCAATGGAGCTGTGCTCGTTGCGGCTAATTGCAAATAAAAAGTACTAACAATTAGACCCTTGTGAAACGCACGAGGCTCGAAAGTGTCCGGAAATTCGAGTTCCCCGGAATTCGGCGAGCGAAACTAAGTCTGCGCTCGTGACTTAGCCTTACCAGCTAATAATAATTTAGGAGTACAAAACGTGTCCTATAGATACGTAATAATAATAATAATCATAATATGTATACATGTCCAACTGCGTGTAATAATATGTACCGGTATATATGTATACATACATACACATACGAGAAGTCGGATAAATGGGACAGTAGCCTCTCGCTAGGGATGCGCGCGCAGCGACAACTAAGAAATCGCAGGCGATTAGAAATTAGCATATAAAAATGTTAATCTAACTCCAACGGGGAAAAGAGAACGGAAAAAATCGGTATAAAAGAAATCACATTACGACAGCTCTTCCGTCTCGCGTGCTCTTAATTCCACGCGGTAATTAATTAAGTATGTTCGACCGGTTGTTACGGTCTTGATCAGTGATTAGGGACGGGTAATCATAAATTACCTATCACCGATCAGCCATTGAGGTCTCAGCAACTGATCCCAGTGCGGAACTCCAGGAGAAAACTGAGACTCTCCGCGATTACAGTGGCACCCTTTTCGAATTGATCAACGATCAGCGATCGATGATTCAGGATCAGCTGGTTCTTGCTCCAATCCATGGAAGGGAGACTTACGCGACTCAAGAATCCAGGAATTTACTTTTGCAATCGATTAGCGATCGACGATCAGCAACAACTGGTCCTAGTGCTGATCTCTATAAGAGAGATGCGAACATCTCTCTCTCCCAATCGAAGAATTCCTTCTTGCGATCGCCGATCAGCGATCGACTATCGGCAACTTGAGGCTCGGCAGCATCTGGTCCTAGTGCTGGTCTCTTGAGGAAAAGCTCACGTGACTTCCTCTGCCTGAATTCAATTAGTCCCATCTCGCGATATTGAACATCCGGGTCGCTCTCCTCTTTAACTAACCCCCTCGCCAGTAAACCAAGCGTTCGTTAAAAGGACCACCTCAAGGTAGATATTGTCAATTCGATATAAATCGTGAGCCGAATAGGTTCTTCGGAGATACCGCAGCCTAAAGAAGCTGCTCCAAAAGGTTCTTCCCATCTTCTCCGTCCTATTGACAAGTAAAAACGAATTCAGTCTCGCTAACTATAAGCGAGCAAGCGGCAAGCATGACTGTGCTGCAGGCTGCAAATCGGCACCTGGTCCAGCACCTAGACTGAGACCGTCACGAGCTGAAATGTCCCAGTGCAAATCGGTTATCAGTTCTCTCGATTATCTCCCAAGCAACGAGGCAGTCGCGTCTTCCATCTCACAAAAAAATCGAGTCCGTGCCAGAAAGGACTCCAGACACTGAATGGAAGCGGCGACACGTCTCGTCATCTACTCTTCAAGGTGGTCTTCAGAGTGAAGTAGGGAAGCCGTGCGCTCCGATACATCCACGAAGAGGTCTTAGTCGTCGCTGAGCGACAACTGCGGCACGCGCAAAAGTGCTCGCCGACCTCGACGAGGTCTCGCCGAAAGCTCTGCAGGGCGTCGATGGTCCTGCGAAAAGGTTCCTCAGAGGACCGGCTCTTCATCGGTCTCGCTATCATGAAGCCGATGATTAGAAGACACGGGAGTTGAGGTGAAGGAATTCGTCCTGGGACGCCGGTGTCTTTTCTGCAGAGACACCTCGCTGTTCTGACCTCGAGCTAGGATCAGAGGCTGCAGGGCTGATCTCAAGGACCAGTACAACCTGGGAAACACTTGCTCCTGCTGGGCTATCAGCTCCTTGTTCATCTGGCGCTTCTGTAAAAATAGTTATACCTCGAAACCCCATTCTAGCTATCATATGCTAAGTAACCCATTCACAGTGTAGATGCAAGTTACAATTGTACCTCAAGATACGGTAAAGCGAAAATGAAGTATTCCTAAAAAAAGCGATCTGTATTTACCTGAGCAAGATCTTCGTTGGTGTCGTTTTTAATAAGCGGCAGTTTTCTGCTGTCAACGAATTGTCGCAACGCCTTCTCTCTGACATAGACAAAGGGTCTGACGACTCTAAGGTCCTGTTCGCGAATGTAGTAGTGGGCCTTCATGGTCCTGAGCTTGCCGTTGTGGAAGACCGACGAGAGGAAGCCCTCGGTGAGGTCGTCTAAGTGTTGACCCAGCGCAAGGACGTTGTATCCGTGTTGCTTGGCTACCGAATACAGCTTAGCTCTGACAGTTCTTACGGAGAAACTACAGGATTGAGCATCCCTGGGCTCGTCGTCAACGGTAGAAGCAGCCTGTTCTTCAAAAAAGTATGGGACCTCCAAGGACTTCAGGTAAACCATGGACTTAAGGGGGTCTTGTCCACCGTTATCAATAGTTGCGGCGCCGATCTCAAAGTTGATGCCTTTTGACCTGACATAGAATCGATATTGATGCAGAGTGTGAAGAACAGCCAGAGAGCTCTGACTCCCGGAAAGGCACACCAGAACCCTGTCGTTGTCGCGAATCATATCGAACTCCTGCATAGCTTCCACCGCAGGTTTCCAGATATTCTTAGGTGGACAGTGCCACTGGGGGTTGGTCCTGTCTTCGGGAAGACTTCCAGTGGTGGAGGCTTCATCGTCTTCCTCCAGGCCGGAACACTCGGAGACCATCTTCTCATCTTCGGAGAGGTCGTCCACCCTAGCTTGTTTCCCTTTGCCGGAGATTCTAAGTCTTCTACATCCATTAGAGTTGGACTCGGCACTGCTGCTTCTACGCAGCTCTGAATCCACGGACCTGTCACTCTCGTGGAACGACAGATTGATCCCGCTATCCTGGGAACTGACGGAATTGATGGTCGAGTAAATCTTGGGTAGGGCCTTCATGTCGATTTCTGCGCCACTGTGATCTTCGTCGTCGGTCTTGCCTTCGGCTTCCCGTGGTTTGATCACGTAGATGACGGTCTCGTCGGAAGAGCACTCGCTGGACATCTTGCTCTCCTGGGAGAGTTCGCTAAGTTTCCCTACAGGTCCCGTCTTGGGCAGAGTCCTTTCCGGGGAGCCGTGCCCATTGGAAGATCCGTTGGACACAGGGGTGTCGGGAGAGAACCTGTGCAGCCCGTCCACAGCGTTCACCATGCACCTGATCTCGGATTTGACCTCGCTGGCCATCTCCTTAGAGAACTCCATCAGGTACTCCGCAATGTCGCTCGCCGAGAAGGAGTCCTGTTTATCCTCCGAGTGGTTCGCCGAGTGGCTCCTCGAGTGGTGCTGCGGCGTGTTCTCCGATGTGTTCGTCTCGGAGAGAACGTCGTCCACCTTGGAGATGACCTCACGGATCTCGGACTTGATCTCCGTGGCCAACTCCTTAGTCACTTCCTTCAGGTAGGCGTGCAGGTCGTCCGAGCTCTGGGACAAGTTAGAAACCGGCGACGACCTACCAACCCTCATGTCGGAGCTGCTGGTCGACGTGACGTGTCCCAAAGAATGGGTCGGACTGCCACTTTCATACTCCAGGGAGTTCAGCTCCGTCTGACTGCTGCAACTACAATGCCTGTGTCTAGAATTAGTGCTGATGCCTAAACTGGCCATGGTCTGAGGACTCAGAATAGGTGGCGCGGTCCCGGTGCTGCCCAGGGAATTGCATCTGGCTCTTCCAGGGATATTTTGTTCACTAGCGATCAGTTGAGTCACTGCTGGTGTACCCAACATTGCTGGAGTGACCGCTTCGCCGACGGCGAATCTGACCGGCATTGGAGAACTGGGACAAGTGGCGGGCGATCTGTGCCCATTGGACCCCACAACGACTCCAGAACTGCTGTATTCAGGGAGAGACAACTGGTTGGTCAGCGGCGGCGAAGCGGTTGATCTGGTGGACCTTGGGGAAACACCTTGAGGACCCTGGCCCAACTCGCTCGACTTCTTCCTGTAATCCGGGATCGCCCCGGCTAGTGACTTGGTCAACATGGGCAAACTATGGTGCCGTGGTGAATTCGGGGTTATGGGCACGTTTCCGGTTCGCGGAATGTCGCTGTTCAACCTTCGGATCCCATTTGCCAGCAGCAGGCCGTTGGCTCCCATGTCCAGTGATCCATATCCCAATCTGTAGGTCACGGGATTAAAGGGAACGTCCTGTTTAACGTTCTGGGAGTTGCCCAGTAGCAAATCCTGCGCCTCGTTGGGTAGGATGAACCATCTCAGGGCTTCCGTTCGTTCCGTGAAGGTTTCGCTGTGATCCACCTGCAGCGGGTATCTTTGAGCCATCTTTCTAGCCCTGTTGAAAATGTTCCTGGCGGTCTGCAGGCAGTCGCTGTAGCTCTGGGGGAATACTCCAGGACCGGAAACTCTTCTCTCGGATGTGTTCATCTTCCCGTCCGTGTACCTTATCGAACCCAACCATTTCCTGTCCTTGAAGACGCTGTTCGTGTGGTGCCTCCACTCTCCGGTGTCAGGGTTCAGCACGTACTGAGGTAGCAACTTCCAGCCCTCGGTGGCGACCATCTTCAGCGCTTCCAGGATGAAAGCCACTTCCGCCTCGGACATGAAGTAGGGAAAGGATAACCTGGCGAACCCTGGCCTCAGCATCTCTGCATTCATGTCTCCTGCCTCGGAACCGCTTCCACTGGAAGAAAAGATTCGTTTTCGTTTCTTCTCCAACCTCCACGATCTATTTCGATAATCATAATCCATAACAATAGGCACGTTGTTCGGTATCATGAAAATAGATCCGTGGTCTTAGAAACCACCTCAATATTTTCACTTCAAAGTGCAAACAATAGCTAAACTGTATGGAAGTAAGTATTGAAGTCTTTTAGGGAAGGTTAAGCATTGCAGTATCTGAATAAACTTAACAAGGATTATGGAAAGATTGTATTAGTAAAAAGAGTGAAGAGGAAGTGTGGAGAGTAAACAGGATGAGGCCTATAGCCGAGTCTAGTCGGATCTGTGAGACCTCAGGTCTGTAAAAGTTAATCCAGAGGGTCCGAAACATTTGCATTCAACCATTTAAAATTTGTTAAGAGTTCCGTAGAACTGTTAATTAGACCGGTTATTTCTCCAATATTATGAATTAGGATTAGAAACAAACTTACTTTGCCAGAAGGATCGTCTCGTACTCTTTCGCCAATTTTTCATCGATGCCCATCAAATCGTGAGCATATTGACCGGTACAAGCACATCCCCCTCGAGCCTGGACTCCGAAAACGTCGTTGAGGACGGCGCAAACAAAATTGTGGTGCAGGAACGTCCCTCGAGGGTGCCGAACCATGAAGGAAAATATCGGAAGCCTCTTGACGTTTTGCGAGGTGCTGCCGAGGAGGATCAATTCGGGGATGGTCCTGACGTGGGCCAGAACTTGCCTATAAAAAATAGTATCGTTAGGGAAAAGTAAATGGGGAGTGATAAAAATAGATGAAGGATACATAGCAACGACGGAAGGGGACATCGGAACGTTTCATTTCGGGAATCGTTTTTCCCAAAATATCGAATCTTTTTGAGTGACGCTGCACCGTCGAAGTAGCCATTAACGCCTTGTCGTTCCGTCGACCCCGAAGTTCACGCGTGGGCAGACGAAACGGCCCATTAAACATGGCGGAGGCGTCTTTTGGGCAACCCACGTGTAGAACGAATCGAAGGACAAGGCACGGTTGCTGGCACGAGGTGCCATTTTTATTTCGAGATTTCGCCGAACCTCGCCCTCGTCATCCTGGCCCAGGCTCCATTTGGCCAAGTATTTTTTTTCCGGATATTTATAAAGAGCCTAAAACCCCGAAGACTGGCAGCTAGAGAGGAGAAAGATGAACGCCGCTTCCTGTTTCTGTGGCGCAAACGATGGCGAGGGAGAAATCTGCACGAATACCAAGATTCTGCAAGGCAAAACGTAGACCACCCCACCTGTGCAACTTTTCAGCCCTAGTTTCATCCTATCTATGCCATTGATTAGATCTAAAAGATCCGAATCTTATTTCGATACCTTAATGGACGAATTTGACTAGATGCTTCCTATCGATGAATACAGACTTCTTATTTTGACAGTAGTCGCGATTAACGAAATTACTAATTGTACCAAGAGCGGGTTATTACTATCAGTTCCTCAACATTGCTGTTCCAAAATATCTTCAGAATATCTGAAAAGGCGATGTAGTTTATGAGCACTCTGAAGACCATCATCGGGAGCACCTGCGAGTTCATCGAGCGTCCCGCAATTTTAACGTCGTCGAAAAGATTTACGGCAAAAGACGGAAATCGAACGAAAAGGAAGGAGATGGAACGGGATCTTACTTTGATATCTTGTCCTGTCGAGCGACGATCGCGTGGGGGGAGACGTTCTCCTTAAGCTGGACGGCCAATCCGCAGCGGATGGTCTCTACGACCGCAGCGGTTCCGCTCTCCTCCCTGAGTTCTGGATCCCGCAGATACCTATGGGAATCCTTCGTGTCCTCGGGACTGAACTCCTCCCTCATCAAGGACTTCTTCATGACCACCACCCCCGGGGACTGTACACCCCCGATGAACTTGTGACCGGCGAAGATCATCGCATCTTTATGGACCGCGGTCTCCCCCACCCCCGGCAGATGAGGATTCATGTCCATCTGAACGTAGGGAGCTGAAAATTTAAGAAATTCATAAGACCTTAAAAACCCGTATTATAAGAAATCGTAAAATATCCTGGCGATTTGAAAGTGGGGCGATATATTCATGATACAACCTGAATTAATCAGCGGAATGTCTTTCTAGAGCGATATAAAGTCTGGTCTAGAACTTGTTCTAGACCAGACTTGAGCTTGTCACAGCCACAATTAGGCCTCACGGATGCAATTTAGCCGGCATAATTACCAAGATAGCTAGCTGTGTGCACATAGAGGATATAAGGCCAGCGAATCGCCTCGCGCGTCAGCGACTCAGCCAAGGTACGTGCCTCGTAGTAACCGATTCCGATATATGGAGATACGGTACCCCAAGGTCGATAGTTATCAAAGGCATTTTCAAAGAATATCTACACCTTTCACTTTTTCTCTCCATGATTTTTCCTATAAATCAAGGAAAGAGCCCCAGGAGAGACTGAAAATATCGCTAAAATAGCTTCCGGGCTGATGTAGATCCATTACGGTAATGTGAGATTAATTTCGCCGGCCAATAATGTGATCAACCATATTAACCATAAATATCGTTCCCAGTACCTCACATACGCTAACGTCAATTAAACTAATTTAAATATTTAACTTCCGTCGATCTGACACCTATGAATTGAGCATAACCTATGTAAGCTCCCTTTTTCTCCAATTCCACTCTTTAATTCCTACTTTTCATCTTATACATCCAACTCAATACGAATTGAATCCTACTTTAGGCCAACAAGTAGAACGAATGGAAATGTTTGCAACTTTAAGGTCTAAAGTAGAAACGTTTTCTGAAAGTCACTTCTTTCTATACTATCCCGAAACCTGTTTGACTTACACTAAGAGGCTCTAAGAACAAAAGTGCGGATCAAGATCAAACTCGAGCCGTTCTTTTTAAGGTGACCCTGAATTAGTTGCAGTTATTCCGAGGGCACGAGATCGTTCTCTAATTATTGGATATTCCGTAAGGTTTTATCGGCTCTTCGGCAGAAACTCGGGAATAAATTGCGAGCGATTCGCTGACGCGGTCAGGCCGCGAAAGGAGCGGCCGAGGCTCGCTCCGGATTCTGGGACGAGAGGTGACCCACCGGCTGACGTGTAGTCCCAGATCCCGAGGGCACCGTGCTGGTGCAGGAGTAAGGTCGTGGCCACGTCGTCGGCGAGCACGCCGGTGATGCAGCTCGCTGCACTGAAACATCCCACCATTTGCGATGCACCGGAGGCTCTTTCGTTGATGAGCTTGCGTTCCAGGTCATTCAAATCCAGAAAACCTTCCTTGGTCTCCGCGATGCGGACGATCTGCAAGCAATCGTGACATCAGCTTCGAATACGAGACAAGACCGATAATCGAGGGCGAAGTTGAAATTTCGAAACATAACAAATATCTTTAACTAAATCTTTTTCAGCACGAATGACCCATAAGTTCGTCACGATTAAAGATTCAACATTTTATCGTATTATTGTTTCTAAGCGAGGAATTGAAAAACTCCCCGAATGCTGGGAAGAAGTCGTAAACAGCGAAGGAGAACATATTAATGATTAATATTGATGAATTTTATTTCTTAACCCTCTATAGACATGTTTGTTGTTCAAGCCAAAAGAAAACCGATATAACGCGAAATTTTCAGATATTAACCTCCTAATATCAGAACACTATTTATTAACAAATTTACAATTTCTATAAATTTGTATGAAATTGTGTATAAATGTATAATTTGTAAACAAATTCCTTGTAGGAAGACCTAATGAGACTTCAAAAATATTTCGGCACGGGGATGTGACTTCATAGGCATGTAGCATTATCGAGAGTAAGCAAGATTTTTTCCATCCAGAAAACGGACGTACTTATAGGGCAACCTTATATATTTTATATTGTGGATCCGAAGATCACAATTTCATTTATCGAGGGGTTTGTTTCTCACCTTGACTCCGTATTCTCTCCAGGGTCTTAGGTTCGCGTGGTGTTCAAAGGGCCCCACGAAGACCACCGTGGACTCGGATAGGTCCAGATGGCGAAGAAGGGTTCTAAGGGCACCGGCCGTTCCGTGACCCGTGAACAAAACTGCATCCTGTTCGCCTGCACCCACGGAATGCCTAACGATGTCTCTTGCCTCGTGTCTGGAATAGTTCGTCGGTGGTTAAGGGCTTAGGTTAAGGCCGAGGGATTCAAGAAGCCGAGTTAAAGGTGAACAGGCACCTAAACATTTCTCTACGACATTTATAAGCCTGGGGAGCTGAAAGAGCTCTTGCGAAAGCTCCTGGAATTGTTCCCCAAGGTTCTTTAAAACTTAATCAAAAGATCCACTTTGAAAACGCCAGGAATTTTCCCCGCAACTTTTCAGAGCTTAATCAGAAAACTGCACGACTACTTTCAACAAATTCCCGAAATTATTCCAGAAGGTATCTCGGAGGTCGATAAAAGCTACGCGACTTGAAGGAATTCCGGGAATCGTTCAGCTGCTTAAAAAATAATGAAAATTCCTAACCCAGACTCTCGTTATCCTTCGGATTCAAGGGTACGGAGAGACCCCGAAGACCGGCAATATCGGGCAAAATTTCGCCTCCGTGATCAATACTTGGACGTACTACACAAAGTGCAGTAGCCAAAACGGTGAACATTTAACGAGCGACTGCAGAGCCATTCGCATTTCGAGGTTTCACCCTCGCTGTAGAGGCCGATGAAGTGGCTGGGGGGAGAAAAAGAAAGAAAATGGCTTGGGGTCCTCTATCTAACCCAACCCGACCTGACCCCAGGGTCGGGGGGTCCAGCAGAGGTTCGCAACAAGAAAGTCGCGATGCACCGCGAGTGCATCGCGCTCCGAGGCATGCAATGCGCCAACGCAATGCAGAATGGTAAAATAAATGCAGGAGTGATAGAAAGCGCGGTAGCCTCGCGAGGGCCGAAGTTGGTTTACGAGCAAGGAAGTGATAAGATTGCGTCTCTGGTCGACGCGAACATTTTTTACCAATCACTTGTTGTGGCGCGGTGTTCCAAACGCGGGAGATAATGCGAGTACTATCTCCAGGCGATAGTAGGTTAACCGCGCGTTTAATTTGCGGTTCACCTCGGCCTGGGGCAATTATCTGCACTTCCGACGTCAGGAACGAAACAGACGTAAATGCAGGCCGTTCAGAAAAAACAATGATTCCCAATTTCGAGCAATTTCTTACCTCATCGGATAATTTATAGTCCCTTTCAAGCGACTTCTAATAACGCCCCGAAATAATAAAACGCAGATAAAGCCGTTCGGTATCTATACCAAAGTAAATATGATTAAAAGGATTAGATCAATCAAAAGACAAACGCAACTATAATTTAAAAGATTCAATTACATAATAGATAACCACGAATAAAATAAAAAACATACAAATTACGCAATGGAACGTATTGTACCGGTGAAAACGTAATAAAGTGCAAAAGAGTAAATTACGACGACGTGGAGCGTCACTCGGGGTAAAACAGCCCCTTAAGGGTGCGGGGAGTTCAGCAATGGAAGGATATACGCAGAATTTCCATGAGGTAGAGGGGGTGCGGGAAATGTCGAGGCCAAGTCACCCTCGTCCTCGAGGAACGGTCAGGGACATTGGATTGCCATCGTTTCCCGAAAACACCCCCCCAAAGCCCCCCCGGGGGACACCCTAACCTTGCTTCCCCTTAGCCCACGCACGTGCGTGGCTCGTGCTCGGGGGCAGAATGCGGAAACTCTTTTCGGCGAGAGATTCTTTGTCCTAGGCGACTCCTCGACCAAGGGTCGGTGCGTTCGGCGGATATTGATCTGGGACACCCTCGGCCCGGAAGACCCACCCCCGCGGCTCCGTGACGGGGGTACCAACCAACCCCACCACGAGCTGGGGTTAACCGTTGCCCTACATACGAGTACGCGCCCTCGTTGAGCATCGACCTGCGTTAACGAGGAGGCACCCCTCCGGGCACGGCTTGGCCGAGAACAATGGAACGGTCGCGCAGAAGGAAAACTAATAACAAAGCGAAGCGCTCGGCTAATGACCGCGGTGCTTGATTTCGAAATAAAAAAGAAAGAAAGAAGCGATGGGGTTGTACGCGCGACTGTTGACCGGCGACGGCTACTTTTGGAGGTGCCGACGAGAAAATGGAATATCACAAAAAATGGTAAAGCGTGGCGATCGTTATTTTATGAATGTTTACGTTGCCGAGGAACCGATCCAGGATAATCGTCTCTACGAGTCGAAGAGAAAAATTGATAATAAAACAGAATGCGATTGAGGACGTGACTTGCAATTATTGTTAATTCATTTTGAAACTATAAATGGGGAGGAACTGGTGTGGCAAGATAATTGGTAAACATTACGGAGTTGCCTATTCCGCGTGGGACATGCTCGCCTTCACGAGGAACTAACCTATGTTAACGAGGAGGTCAGTCTCCGAGAGCAGGGCTTACGTAAGAATAATTAGCGGAATGGAATGAGCAAATAAAATGAAATTTATACCATGGAAAAATACGAATCTGGATTAAGCTGATTTCGGCCTAACGGGGGTGAAGTGATCAGAAAATAAAATCAAGGGAAAGAAGTAGGAAGAGCAGCTCGAGACCAGCTGTTGCAGGGACCAATAGACAATTTCCCAGCTGACATGGCAGAATAATCGCACTTGTTGCAACAGTAACTACTAGTTGCTCGACAAGTTGTCGGGTTTACCGACTCCGAGGCAGCAAACCGGTCCAACTAATTCAACGAGATTAACTCCTAAGAAGGGACCCTCGACTGAAAATTCGTTTATCCAAACCGCATTATTCCTCCACCTTGCTTCCGACAGACATTCAATTTTTTTTTTTTCTTGCGACAAGTTCCTCGTTTCTCTCCCCTCCATCCATTCCCACTATTTACTTCGCAGCTTTTCCAGAGGGGAACCGAAAGGTCGAAACTATTGATGGGAACTAAGGGAGCAAAACGAACGTCCCTTGGCAACGACATCAACATCGACCGCGATAACCCAATTGACAACTCCGGGGACGAGTGTCGCTATGATTTCGGCAAATCACCGGCAATCATAGGTAATTTACGGTACGTACCTGAAGAGAGATGATTGTAAACTGCAGATCGAAGTCGAAGCTCGGGTGTCGCCAAGGCACGGAAGCACCTCCTTGCTGATGTACTCTTCGAGGAATTGCAGGGATCTCCCCGATGCCGTGTAATCGCAATAGACCACTGAAATGAAACACGAGAGCCACTATTAATTTCTCACAACGAATGTCACAGCTTTGTAATTTTAGAAGCCATTGAAACAAAGGTAACGCACCGATCTCCCAGTTTCGCAGGCTTGGCATAAATATAACACGTCAAGTAGGCGTATCATGCGCCATGTACCTATGCTGCAGAGGCAGAAACAACGCAAACGAATTCTGATTCATCTACGCGTTTCCGGAGTTGTAATTATTGATCCAATCATCGTAGAAAAACGGAGGAAAACTAGTTGGGAGATAGTTAAATTTTAATATTATACTTTATTAATAAGGATATAAGGGTGTATTTGAGATTTAGCATGAGAGCCTAGGTAGAATTCATTCTATCTTATTCCATATTCCTGTATCTTACATTCTCGTATTATACTTCGAATCCTCACGTCCGTTCATGAGGTAATCCTTATATGAGGTAAACATTTCAGACTGGGGTTCTGCAAATTACAGGGACCTCCTCGATGCCGTATAATCGTAGTAGCCCACCGAAATGAAATCTGAAAGCTGTCATTAATTTTTCACTACGAAATGTCACGGCCTCGCAATTTTAGGAGCCACAGACACAAAGGTAACGCACCGAGTCTGCCAGTTTCGCCGGCTGGGCATAAATGTAACACGTCATGTAGGTGTATTGTGCCCATGGATGCTGCATAAGCAAGAATGACGCAAACGAATCGACGCGTTTCCGCAACAACTGAAGGTGGCAGTTAATCTTCACCCACCCAGGAACCATATTTCACCTCCAAACATCCCTACCTCATCACCTCCCATTAAGTTGAATCATGTGGACGGAGAGAATAAATTATCAGTTAAATGCCCTGCTACCGTCCGAAGGATACATTACCTCGCATACTTCGCCCTGCCACGTTCTTTATTCCTCTCTCTCTCCGCGTTTCTAGTGACGTGAAAAGGTGTTTATGGAGGTTGAATCAGAAACGGAGGAAATATGTAAAACAGGGCGCCGTTTATGATCCGGACTGACCGTGGAGCTCGTGATTCATGAAAAGTGATGCATGAAGTGCTTCTGGCGCATCAGCCGACCTTTCAGGGTCACATGAATTTTCTCGAGACGTTCCGAGGTCCGACCTACTTCGGGAGAAGTTCTCTCCGGAACGTTTTAGAGGTGAATCCTTGTTCTTGAAGAATCCTTAAGGGCACCGCGCGGAAATGGCCTCTTCTTAGACTTTATCAGAGGTCAGACATCTCGGCGAGGGATCGCCTGCGTCACCAGCCGGCGCTGGTCGAGAAAATTCCGATTCCAGTTCGCGATTGGCGAATCTGAGATATGGAATTGCCCTTGGGAGCACAAAGACGTCCGGCAAATGCCGTCGATTACGAGCGAATCAGCGCGATTTTGCGGGATCGAGACTCCCCCGAAGGTCGCTCGTTGCGATCCCGAGGCATCGACGGAGCCGGAGAAATCTGGAAGTCTTGAGATAAGTACTCAACCAACACTTTGACGGACTTTCGGGGTTAATTTTCTTGGTCGTCGTCTCATAAGCTTGCTGACGACATGTAGATCGATAGATCCAAAAGTCCGATCCCACCCCAGCAAGCAAAAACGTGTGACAAGTGGTATTGATTACGTGCAAAGATTTTTCAACGAGATTTTTTTGAGATCGAGACTCCCCTGAATGTCGTTTGTTGCAATCTCCAGGGGTTGTCTGAACCAGAGAATTCAAAAAATCTTGAGAAATTAACGTTCAATGATCACTTTGGCGCACTTTTGGAGTTAATGTTCTTGAGCATCGTTCCATGTGCAAGCAGCCGACCGAGGATCGACAGATCAAAAAGTCCGGTCAGATCCCAGTGAACGTTTGGTCGACTTCGTAAAGGGGTACCGTTTGGCGCTTGGAGCGAGTCTAGTCTCTCTTCGAGGTCCCCCGGGGTTGAGTTTAAAGAAAAACCCATCAGCTGGAGAACCAGACCCGACTGCCGGTTTATAAGGAAACCGGCGCGCTGGATCGCGATCGAAAGGTAATCATGTCAGCCGGATCGCTCCCAGGCAAAATCCATCGCTGGTTGACCTGGACTTTGCTCGAGGTTCGTCATCGCCGAAGACGATGCTCGGTCGCCGAATGGTCTACCGATTCTCGGTGGGTGAAGTCGACCTCGGGGAGCAGTCCGGACCGGGTGATGACGCGAGACGTTGACTGGTTGGATCGTTGCTCGAGCGGCGGAAGGAACAGTGCCAGAAAAAAAAAAACAATACTCGGGTCGCTCGTGACGTCGATCCCGCCCTGGGAACCTCATCCCAACTCAAACTGGTTGATGACGTGTCGGATGCGACGCGGGGAGAGGACGTCGACAAAGGCGACGAATGATCGTCCTGGAATTTGCTGATTTCGTCCTGACGTCACCTCGATGTCAAGAACTCTATTCAGAACTAATTCAGATAAGATGACGATCGTTGACACTATTGATAGAGTAGGAACTCGCGAAGGCGATCACATATGATTCTAATATTCGAAATATCTCTTCGTGCCTTAGCTTTGATAATCGATCCGGACTCTCGGGTGGTAGGACTCCATTGAACCCGACGAATCACTCGTGATTGAAAAATTTCGTTTCAGTCCACAAGAAGGACCATGGACTTTGGTAGGCGCGAGTTTTTAGGACCGGCTGACGAGTATCGGACAGCGACCACTTTTTGCTCCGAGTGCCATCCGAAAGACGTCTTCCCTCAGAAGAGCCAAGCGTCGAAGAACGGACGGGCCTTCGGGAAACAGTCTCCGGTTTTACGACTCCCGTTAAGGAGTCCCGCCCGGAGCGAAGCGAGAAACGGCTATAAGAAGGGGAATCCCGCGAAAAGGACCAACATCAGAAGAAGAGCGATCTCTTTCTCCGTCTCCTCGGGCCATAAAGTCTGCCAGACTTCGAGGCGGCTCCGCGTCTTATCTAGGCGCTCGTTAACCCAATTGCAGAGAAGCCCGTCTCGGAATCGAGATTCCACGAGCCGCGCGATCTCCTGGAGGCGACGCTATCAGGCCGCCTTTTCTAGATCGATGCTTCCCCTCATCGGTCCCAGACAATTTTTACTGATTTTTTCCCTACCACCGATATTTCGTCAACGTCCACCGAGCAGAGGTCCACCCACCAGGGGGAACCTCTTCGCCGAAAAGGGACCCGCAGGTGCAATTCCTGGACCCGAAGGTTGCGGACCGAGCCGAAGGTCGTAAAGCGTCGCGGTGACTTACGTCCCTTCAGGGAAGGTCTGTAAGTTGCAGGTGCAAGAACGAAGCGGAGAACGTTTGCTCCTCTCGTCTCCTCTCAGCTCGGCTCTTCTCTCCGAATCGGACCGTGGGAGGGCTGGTGAATCGCCAGCCGACGCAATAATGGCGCGCAGGTGTTCCTTGCGAAACTGCACCGCTTCGAACTGGCACGACCGGCCAAATTATGCGCGGCTTCTGCAGCTGGACGAGTCGGGTCGGCCACGTAATGCCCCCGGGATTGCGCAATACTTCTCGAAGGATCGCACGGCGACTTTGGGGACCATTTTTTTAGGGATCAGGGAACGAAAAGTGACGCACTTCTTTTAGCTCGCTCGGGCCACAAAGAGGGATATAGAGGGATATAGAGGGATATAGCGGGATATAGCGGGATATAGAGGGACACGGTGGCACTAAGCGGGACAAAGCGGAACTCGACCCAGTTTCGGGGGAACTCCTCGCTGCCGGGGTCGGGCGCGACCACGTGACTCGGCGTCATGCTGTCTGCAGCCGCCAGCGCGGGGATTCCCTGGACGCGTTTTTCCGCACTAACTCGCCGGGCGTGACCCGAATCGATCCCTACCACGTGCGGAGCCACGCACGAATGGAACGAGACCTCTCGCGTCATCTCAAATAAAAAACATGGATATAGAAGGAAAAGAATGGGGAGTGTCGCTGCGCAAGCGAAGGTCAAGATGGAATGGGAAGAAGTAGTGGCCATTTTCAGGTACTACTCGAGACGAAATTTTTCGTTTATTTGGAACTAATTGTAGGCCTTAAATGGGTTTTAAGGTAATATAAGAAAGGGTAATTTCCGTGCAATTGAGGCCCTACGTTGAACCTTAAAAGTGGCAGGTATTTCTATTCCTTCTACGTATACGCCTAAAGTAGGACTTAATTCGTTTTAAGTAGAACGTACAAGGTCGAAAGTAGGAGTTGAAGAGTAAAGTAAAACCAAAAGAGATCTTACGTAGGTTTTGCATGTTTAAAATTGGGCTAAGATTTCGACTCGGGTTCACGCGTGTTTTGAACGGATCTAAGAACGATTTGAAGGACACTGTAACTGTTTTTATTGATTACAATTTTTATGGCGTTAAAAATGTACAACGCCATTTCAGGATCTTGATATATTTTGCCTCCCCCTCCCGTCTTGTTTACGCTTTAACTGCTGTTCGCAAATAAGAAATTGCGTATATGTGCGTAGCAACGAAAAACGGCGACTGCAGTCCCTTCCCTGAGTTCGCGAGTTTTAATCCCCTCGTCTAGAATCTAACTTTATACTCCATCCCTTTATTCCTAAATCCATGATAAAAAGAAATCACTCGTCGATATCTCCAGAATTACCAAATAATATCTATCCTTAATTTATTTTCTATCCATAGGGGAAGAGGAAAGTAAGGAAACCAACCACAGAAAAAATCGCCGTATCGAAGGAGCACGATATGGATCGTTCCTTTGAAAAGGTCTGGAGGTGCAAAACCGTGATCGTAAATCGGTAAATCCAGACTGCCATTATTTCCTCCTTTCCCCATATTCCGAGGCCGAACGCCAACCGACAGAAACCGAATGAAAGTACTCGAATGCCCTTCGAGCATTTACTCTCCCTCGAGGCGAAATCGCGAAATTACTCACGTCGGGAAAAATTGAGAGCATTGAAAACCAGCGTCGCATTTCACATTTTTCAAGTTGTTTCAATTCTTTTCGCAGCCCGACGACGTTCCAATAATAAGGTACACGAGGACCCTATTGCTTTTCCACTTCG